TTAGAAGAAAGTATAGGGCTTCAGTTAATTTGATGTACATCAGTTTCTGTTTGTCTTGATACAAGAGTCTTCTTCCAAGCAGAACATGACTTTTCCTGATTCTTCCTTTACGTGGTGCCTCACTGGTGCCAGAAGTGGGATCTTGCTGCTGAAATACAACAGCTTGAGCAGAGGATCAAAGAACTCTGTGGCAGCCGGGGAAGTAGACAAGGTGGTAAAAGAGAAGCCAACAGTGGGGAAGACGGCAGTGCAATGGCCAGTGGAAGAAGCAGCATGATGGCCGGCGAGAGAAGTAGTGTGACAGCCAGCGAGAGCAAAAGTGAAAGTGGATCCAACAATAGAGAAAGTTGCAAGGCAGCAGTGGCCAGCAGCATACAGCTGAGGCACAATGGAGTAGAGCCAGCACACATTCTACTGCCACGCTACAAGAGGAAGGACCATGGGAGCCTTACTCGATGCAGCTGCAGATAGTCGCTCAGCTTTGTGGGTGGATAGGGGCAGATACGACGATCCAGCTATGCTTGGCCCTAGACGGAATAGCACTCCAGGTACTTATGGACTTACTGGCACAGCAGCATGGTGACTTTACAGTGTTGACAGCAGCTTTCCAGCAGCATGTTGGGAAAGTACCAGTGGTGCTGTCTGTCAGGAAACTGCTCCAAGACAGGCAAGGGCAGAAGGGGAAGCAGGTGAGCATACTGGCGACAAACTTGAGCACCATGGTCCAACAGGCTTACCCCATGTTTGGGAAGCAAGTTCAGGAGGAGTTGTTGTCCGGCTCGTATCTGTACATTGATGATGCCCTGGACCTGCATAGTTCAGTTCACTGGACCTGTGGAGTGGGTACTGGCATGTGGCATCTCGATGACGTGCTGGTTCACATGCCAGATTTGGGGTGCCACATAGTGAGTAGTGCAGAGGTGGTGGACACAGTGCAGCAGTGGCCTGTGCCGCAGAGAGTTGGTGAGATGTGTAGCTTGCTTGGCTTGGCTTTGTACTACCACTGCTTCATGCATAGCTTCGCTGACATTGCTGCACCGTTACACTGGCTTACAGAAAAAGGGGCCAAAGAAAGCTGAGTATGCGTTTAATGCCCTCTGTGCCTGTGCAAGGCACTGGTGCTAGCATTCCTGCTAATGACAAATGATAGCAACAAGGGCATCAGTGCCATTCTCAGAAGTACAGGGGGTATTGAGCGGATTATTACTTATTACAACTGGGAGCTGAGCAAGCAAGTGTGCAGTTACTGCACAACATGAAGGGAACTGCTGGCTGTTGTGGCAGGACTGTGCTAGTTTCGGCCCTACGTGTACAGTGTTCCCTTTGTGCACTGATCACACCTCGTTGACTTGGCTCATGCAGTTTAAAGAGGCCGAGGGTCAGGTAGCATGGTGGATCATGGTGCTACAGGAGTACAAAATCTCTATTCAGCACCATGCCAGGCGCCTACACAGTAATGTTGGTATTTTGTCCCGGCATCCATGCGCTACTAAGGAGTGCTGGTGCTGCACGCGCCTTGAGAAAAAAGCCGAAAGCAGCAGGAAGGAGCGCCGCGGTCGTGGCCATCACTACTAGTAGCACAAGACTTGGCATTGTAAGCCCTGAGGAGTTCTGCTGTGCCCAGAAGGAACTCTCCTGGACACACATTTGGCTCCAGACAGGGAAGACACTTGTAGAACGCTTGCACGTGGAGCTCTTTGTGCTGTCTATCTGCTGTGACTTGTCATCACACACTCTGTTGCAATCCCTCTGCCCGTGCACCCTGATGGAGAGAGTAACTGTGGATGTTCTGGGCCCCTTTCCCACCACCGAGACTGGGAACCGCTCTGTGCTCATGGCTATGGATTATTTCACTAAATGGCCCGAGGCATATGCAGTCCCGGACCAGATTGCAGCCACGATGGCGGCGGGGCTTGTAGAGATTTTCTGCCGGTTTGGCATGCCAGAGGAGCTCCACAGTAACCAGGGATGCAACTTCGAGTCAGCGGTCATTGCTGACGTTTGCAACAGGCTGGGCATCCAGAAGAACTGAACCATGCCACTCCATGTGCAGGGTGATGGTGTTGCGGGGCGTTTCAACTGCTGTTAGGGCCCCATGCTGGGCAGCCTGCAGTGGGCCAAATTTTTAGCCCATTCCTGGGATGGCACACCAACATTGAGGCCCACAGGTGGCCATCATTTCACATAATGTGCAGGCAACCCACATTTAGCCACTTATATATAAAACTAAATTTAAAAATGAACAATAAAATAAATAAATAATCTTAAAAATAAGTAAATGTAATAAATGTAATACATTTGCATACACTAATAATTTATTTATTTTTTTATTTGTTTTCCATATTGGCAGACACAAACACACACACACACACACACAAGTCCAATTATTGTCTTATTTTGCAGTCACATCTGACACTTAAATATTTCATATTAATCTGACATCCAATAGTCATGACTATTTGCCTTGCACTAGGACATGACAGAGTGATGTGATGGCATGCACAGACTTGAGTGCAGGGAGGTATATGAAAATACAATTATAGACAATTATTTTAATATCGTCATATTCTGTATGCAGACCTTTCATTAGACAAGTGTAATGTATATTCAAGTCCATTTTCCTTGTTGCAAGAATAAATAATAGACTTAACCCTAATAAGTGTTCTCTTATATAATTACAGCGATAATATAATAATATGCAAACTCTTTATTAAACCAATGACAATGACTTTTGGCTGATTATTAATATCCAGAAACAGAAAGCTATGCAGCCTACATTCCAGCCAGCTTGTCAAAGTGGCAACTTGACTGTAAATATCAAAACTATCTCAATATCAAAACTATCTCAATAATACTTCAAATATGTGACTTGATTATCATTAACCAAAGTTCTGATTTGATTTGAAAAAATATTCCAGTGGAGCCAAAAAACCAACAATGTAACCAACATTTTTTTTTTTTACCTTTCTGATGGGGCTTGAGCTTTGAATTTTAATTTTGAGGTAATTCGTTCAACAAGGAGTGACTCTGGCTTTTCTGTTCCACCCTGTACATGCGCCAGAATAAAACTGCTGCACCATTTAAGATGGAAAAGAACATTTGGATAAATAACTAATGAACATAGCTAAAGTTATATTTTTCCATTTTATGACTACCAACTACATTTATCTTTTTCAGTTAAAGAACCAATTTCTTAAAATGTCAGTTAGCTAGCTAGCTAACGCTATCAAGCTAACTAAACTTAACATGGCTAGCCACACAACGAATTAAACTCTTAGCTTGTTCTAGTCTTCTCCAGTTGCTGTTTGCCTCTTTAAATCGCCGCACGAACAACATGTATTTATAATAAGAATTTATCTAACTCATTCAATATTTAGTGTTTTTAAAGTTGCTCTCATTTTCCCTCAGTTTCTCTCCCCACAGGTTAGACCTTAGACCTGTTTTTTTCCTTTTAATGACATTTTATGTTTGTGTAAAACATTGACAGAAAATCTTGGGACAATATTTATTAACCAATTAGAGTTATATTTATATATTTAAAATTATTTTAACAAGAGAAATAATCATTGTTATTTTTACAATTTAAACTAAAACATAAGCACCAAAATTGTTGTTTCTCATAAAAATAGTACATCAGTGTCCGTGAAGTCACTGTAGTGACATACTGTTTTTCATGTACAATATGACTAAAAAACACTAAATTAAGGATTCAAAAGGATGAATTATCATGTTTTGGTGGTTAATTTAGGAATACAATGAAGAATACATAGACATCAATTTTCTGTAGTTTATTTTTATTTTGACCATTTTCTTGGCTTCAGTGTTGTGGGACACTCTGGGTAGAGCATCTCTAGTGGCTGGAACAGTGGTCTTTAATAATGAAACTTGTCTGTGATTGCCACCAGAGAATGTGTAGTGAGAGTACTGCCACCCAGTAATGTCTTCTGGGTTTGTCAAACGCTAGAGGGCACTTCCGAACGAGTCCAAAAATATATGGGTTAATACAGAGACGTTATGAAGGAGGAGACCGGTCACTGGCTGAAATATGAATGGGAAAGCTCCTAACGGTCAACATGGTGTGTTTTTGTGGAAAAAGGCCCCACCTCTCAAGAAAAAGAGCCAATCAGCTTGCTAATTCTGCTGCGATGGGAAAGCCCTCCCTTGTTGTGGAGAAGCCCCCCTGCATCGGTAATTTGACCTTCAGTTTTGAGCATTTTGGTCTCTCCCCATTAAAAAAGATAGGAGTTTGGTCTTGTAAGTCTGGGCTGGAAGTCACTGCCCAGCAGCGTTGCAAAATGGCCACCAAGTGGACAGACTTTCCTATAAGAACTTTAATATGGAGAATATTAGCAAAATAAAATTTGTAAATGCGTAAACATTTTCATAGAGAACAATGCATTTATCCCTAAACACAGAACAGCATGAAACATTTTAACACTGTTGTTATTTTTTTGAGCGCTTTTGAACTCCAATTATAGGACTTTATAAGGGCACCTCATGTACGTTCATGATGTCAGTGAACATGAACTTTCACTCAGCCAATGGGCTGCTCCGCTTGGCACAGTCCATTGCCAACCAATCAGCATTCTGTAGCAATAATGCTAATCAACACTCAGCAGCAGTATTGCTAACCAATCAGTACTTAGTAGCAGTGATGCTAACCAGTCAGCACATAGTAGCAGTAATGGTAACCAGTCAGCACTCAGAAGCAGTAATGCTAACCAATCAGTTCTAAGTAGCTGTAATGCTAGCATCCTACTGCCCAAAACCCATTTGCAAAGGAAAAAGGAAAACATGCAGTGAGGTTTTCTTTGCCTTTTTAGTGAGATAAATCCTTCTACTTTCTAAATTAAAGGAAAGTTCTGGACAAATGGTTAGAAACTATTTTAACCTTTTGTTTTTAGCTTTTTAGCTCCATTCACCCCCATTCATTTAGGACTCGCTCGCGGGCGCCCTCTGGCGTTTTGCGGTCATGTGTTTGATATAACGGGAGAAATGGGAACTGTCCGGACTCCCCCTTAAACCGGCTCTGTCACCACCAAGCCAGACTTCCGCCACCATCGGAACCAACTTTTGTTTGTGTTTTTCAAGATGGCGGCTGGAATGTACCTGGAGCACTATCTGGACAGTAAGGCTATTGTCTTTATTTTAATGCGGAGTTTTTAACCCGAGTGTTTTATAACGTCTGCGTGCAGTTTGACTTGCCTGTAACGATCCTCCAGATTAACCAGGAGATTGTGAGTTGATAATAACAGTAGCGCTGCTGAAAGCTCTGCTCAGCCTGCCAGATCATGAAATCCTGTTAGCCTACCAGCCTGCTAGCTGCCTAACAGCATCCACACTGCTAGCTGGTATGCTAACGCTAACCACACTGAGAGAATACAGGTTATTGTTTTGAAATGTTCCGCATGAACGTTAATCTGCGCGTCTCATTACAGTACCGGACTGGCTAATGGCACAGTTTAACGTGCTTTAGCTTACTTAGCTAGCTGGCTACGTCGCTCACTGCTGGAGCAGAGAGGCGCTCAGCAAGACAAAGATGAAGTCAGCCTCTCTGACCAAGTTTCCCGTTCCACCTTAAATTATGCAGCGGTTACGTTCTGGCGACTCATGTATTATAATAACTGCTGCAACATTTAAGGTGGAACGGGAATATTGGAATACGAAGCTGGCAAATAGGAAGCCAACTTGAGCCTCGTACCTCAACAAGAGTTTCTCATTTGTTAGCGAAATAGCTAGCTAGCTAATGTTTTTAGCATATTCCACTAGCCGCCTGTGCCAAATACGGACTCTCACCTCGAAATAAGCGCACAATACACAGTTTGATGTACCCAAAGTACTTAAGGTGTAAGTAAGTATATATACAACGTGAATGTGGTCCTTTATTCACATATAGGGGTATTTTTCTTCTCTCCACAGGCATAGAGAATCTCCCCTTTGAGCTGCAGAGAAATTTCCAACTCATGCGAGATTTGGACCAGCGGACTGAGGGTAATACTGGATTCATTTGAACTGACGAAAAACAAACTGAACCGATATTCGTATCTGGGATGGTGTCTCAACTTTAAGTACCATATGTTGTCTTTTCCTCCGCTCAGATCTGAAAGGGCAGATAGACTCTCTCGCTCGTGAGTACACAGCTAACGCGCGCACCCTGTCCTCAGAGCAGAAGCTCTCTCTGCTCAGGCAGATCCAGCAGTCCTACGGGAAGTGCAAAGAGTTTGGAGATGACAAGGTGCAGCTGGCCATGCAGACCTATGAGATGGTGAGTCCGACTTCAACAGCACCTCACTGTAAGCGTGTAGCAATGAATTGAGATATCGCAATGCAAAAGTGCATCGTGGAAATGTGACTATGGAAGCCCATTCCTGCCACTTATAATAAAAAAAAAAACAGCCCATAATCGTTATTTTGCCGTTATTAAGTGAATTGCTATGGCAGTATTGACATGCTTTCTCATTATTCTGAGGTGCTTTTTCATTATTCTGAAATAACAAGTCGTCTTTAGATGCTATCTCATTATTTTGAGATACTAAGTCATTATTCTGAGATAACATCACGTTATACTGGATAAAATATTCGTCTTGTAAGCATTCTCTGCTCTTCATTTTGTTGCAGTAACCAAATAAACATACTCTCTTCAATCACAGAAAAACAAAAGTAAACAAAAAGCATTATTCCTAGAGTGTCCATTTTGTTTCCAACTAAAAAGCCTCTTGAGCACAAATCACATCGTACTTATAAACTTCGAAGTCAAATGTCGGAACTTCCGAGGAGGACTTGAAGGCAGCAAGTGCTGCCAAGGACCCACATTCTTCTGTTTGTTTACTTTTAGGATGCAGCTTTTTTGCTCTGATTCCAAAACGCCTGACCCAACTAATCAACCTATTAACAACCCCTTACTGAGATGGAGTGGGTGTATTAAAGCAGGGATAGCATTAATGTGCCGGCATTGTGCCTCCGTGACCGGATTTGGGAAACACAGCACTAACAAATCACTAAATTTTCCTTTAAATGTTATGCTAGCACTCTTGCTTAATACTGGTAACATTTTATTTAATATTTAATCCACAGTTTGTTTAAAGTTTGAGCAAAAAAAAGTTAACATTTTAATGGACTGATTATGAATGTTTTTGAAATATTACATTGCAAAAATGCGTTTTTAAGCAGAGATGTTTTGGTCTAGACACTCCAAAGTTCCAAGGAATAGACTCTATTTTTACTTTGTTTTAAGGTGGACAAACACATCCGGAGGCTGGACACAGATCTGGCCCGCTTTGAGGCCGACCTAAAGGAGAAACAGATAGAAAGCACAGACTATGACTCTACCTCCAGCAAGGGAAACAAGAGTAAGTGTCAGTCTTAAAGGAATCCTCCAGTATTTTTCAGTTTAATCCTATATGCCACATCCTTATAAATGCTCCCTCACCACAGACAGTAATTTAGACAAACATAAAGCATGAAGTAGGGGTGGACAAAATGTCAAAAATCATACCACGATACTTGAAGACATTTTCACCATATAAGATGTATATCAATATATTGTGACACATACAAAAACCAGTTATCAAAAACTCACAGTACTATTAATTCAACATTTTACACACTTCTCTGTACTAAAACCAAATAAACAGGACTAAATATGCTCTCTTTTGATTGACATGCAGTTGTTCAGTTGTCTTTAATTACTGATATCCATCATATGCTCAGAAAAGCATACTGTGCCTCACAATAATTTATTTTCTGAATGATTAATTTATTAATAAATTATGTTAAGTATGTAATGCATTGATTATTAATTTATCATGATGACGATAAAATATCATCAAATTGCCTGAAGCATCTGCCTATTGGCTTGTAGTATGTTTTAAGTCAATTGGTTTCTATATTCTCTTTAACGTACAGGAAAATGTGTCAAAATTGTGTGTGATAGTTGATTGTATGCTGTAGCGCAACAGATGGAGATGAAGTCAGAATATTCTGGCGTTTCTTTTGAGGCATGTAATCAGCCTAATGTTTGTTGTACCACACAGATGTTCTGCAAGCTAGGCATAATTGTTTTTTTGTGATTGAGGGTTTGTAGACCAGTACTTGGTCATTTTTTTAATATTATTATTTATCTGTCCATGTTCTAGGTGACCTACGGGGACCTAAGGAGAAGAAAGTATCTCGCACCAGGTCAAAGGTCAAGAACTCAGACGACGACTGCAGTCCCAAGAGTGGCCAGAAGAAAGTCAAGCTAATGCAAACGTGAGGAGCAGATGCACACACAAAAAAGCCTTTGTTTTCAAACCAGACTATATTAACCTTTGCCCATGATTTGTTTGTGCAGTAACTGTAGGATAAGAATGCAGATGCACTGCTTCTGTATGACTGATTGAACACATAGAAGTCACATACAAACATACAGACATACAAACTTACATAATGGTATTGAGAAGAGAACTGGTGTCTACAATATGTCAGGCATATATTTCAATGCATGCATATTTGATTTTCAGCTGGGCTGTTTGCATAAGATAGTTGTTAGTATGTCATTTGTATGTGCATTGTGATGCAGTTTTCTTTTGTTTAGGTCTTGTGCAGCAACCCTGTATAATAGTAGAGTGAACAGTTAAATCATACTTCATATTCATTCTTCATTCAGTCTTCATTCTTGTTTTCCTACTGCAGGGCTGAGTTCTCCTCTCCAGCTGTGAACTTCGGGAACGTTCACCCTTCAGATGTGTTGGACATGCCAGTGGACCCTAATGAACCAACTTACTGCCTGTGCCACCAGGTCTCTTATGGAGAGATGATCGGCTGTGACAACACCGATGTGAGTTAATCTTTCTTATTTAAGGTTAATAACTTTTTGTTATTTGCCTGTGTCTCAGGTAGTAATTATGGCCTGTCACAAATATTACATTGTTGCCTGATTGCAGTTATTTGGACTGACAGCAGAAATTGTGAGCCGACCAAGATTTTTCTATGTAGTAGAGATGAAACGGTTACCGGTTTCACGGTAAACCGTGGTAAAATTAATGACGGTTAGTAGTACCGTTTGAACTTTAAAGTATCGTTAAAACCGTGGTCGATTACCGCGGTGTGAAAAACTCGGAGATTCAGAGATATTTCAGCCTTCTAAGAAGACCAAGTCTGACGTTTGGTCATGTTTTGGGTTTTATAAGGATGCAGAAGGAAAGTTAATTGAAGATGACCACCCTGTCTGCAGAACATGCCTAAAGAAAACAGCGGCGAAAGGGGGCAACACATCGAACCTTACGAGTCATCTTCGCGACCGCCACCCGCTACTTGCAAGACTGCAAGGTTAACTTTAACGGAAAAGTCTGTGGGGACTTCGAAATAGAAGAAATGTCATGGTCTGTGTGGTTTAACTTGCGCTTATGGTTTGTTAATAATATAAAATGAAGCTTTTAGTGTCAAAAAAAAGAAAAACAATCGGTGAATCAACTGTGAATCGAAACTAAAGCTTTTAACACGTATTTCTGTGGAGCAGTGTCTCCAAAATGAGCTCTGGAACGAGACGCTGAAAAAGTTCAATCTGCACAGCTCCACTTTCTCGTCTCGCTTGCAGTGTTTACTTTCTGAGAAGAGAATAACACCGTCTCAAATCACTCAGTGTCCCCTACATAGTGCGCTACTGTTCAAACAAGCACGATCATCATTAACCAGCACTTGAGTTTTAAATAGGGAATTTGTAACCTGTTGTTAATGTTGATTATAGATGACTTAGTTGAACATTTCTTGCACTTATTGGGTGAAGGATTTGCTATTTCATGATCCACGAAGTGCACTACATAGGGAAGATAGTGTGCTTTGAGACAGGACCTTGCGCGAGTAAACGCTGTGTTTCAGAGATTAAACTTTAGGAGTGTTTCTGTCGCAGCGCAGATGCATGTTAATTTTAAGTTATGTTTTAGTTTTAAAATGCTTTTAGAGAAGCAGCTCCACAGGTGAACACTGAGTGAGTTCTACACTGTCTGCAGCTCACAGCGCGGTCACGCAATTCCTCTGTGATTTTGTTTTCCTGGTGCACTGTATTGATTAGGGGTGCAGCGCCACAACGGCACAATATGCTGCAATTGCAGTTAGGAAAGAAATCCCCCGAGTGCAACACGTCTTAGAAGTAGTAATTTTCCATTAAGACGCACCTCAGAGTCGCGATTTAATTCTCTATGCAGGGAAATCCCTAGTTATTGTAATTGTAATTATTATTATTATTATTATTGTTATTATTATTATTATTATAACAGTAATAATAATAACAGTACTAATAATACATTTGCTATTATTTTGTTTACAGAGTATTACAAGTATTGTAAGTAATACAAAAGTAATACTAAAAATGTATTGACCTTATTTTTTAATGTTTATGCAAACAAAAAGTGCATATTGCTGCCAATTCTATTTGTGTTAATATAAAAGTTGGTGAAACGAGTTTCAGTTTGTGTATCAGTATTTATTTTTTTATTTATTTTACTTTTCAACACATTTGAACAATATCGCGATAAAACCGATAATCGTGATAATTTTGGTCATGATAATCGTGATATGAAATTTTAATATCGTAGTTGTTAGCTTTCACAATCATATGTTCACATGAAAACTGATTGTTAACCAGGTGTCTTTCATCTTTTGGGCAAGTACAGTCAGGAAACACATTTTTAGACACGTCATGGAGACAATATTTTGTTTGCTTATGAAAATAAAAGATCTGATTTCTGGCTATTAAGTGTTATACTGCATTTAGAGGGCAGCAGTAAGTAATATTTGTTTATTTGAGCTCAAGCTGAGTCTGTTGTCACTTGGAGGCTAATAAGGATCAGCAAGATAGGATGCAAGATAGCTAATCTGGCCTTTTTAGGCATTTACTTAATTGCATAAAGACAATAAAAAATTAATTGCAATTTTTTATATGGCAATTAATCATCAGCTTAAATTTCATGTTCAGGACAGTTCTACTCAGAGATAAGCAAAGGCATGCGACTGGGCAATAATGCCGTTGTGGTGTGGGTGATAACCTGCACACTCTTGATGGCTGTGCAGTGAGAACTATGGAGTCATATGAAGAAATGCAGTGATGTACTTGGGTTTAAGCTTGGTCACATTGAAAGCCCAGGCAGAGAACTGCATTGTAGCTGCGTGGATTTTCAAAGTAATTACATTCGCTTTAAATTTAAAATCTTGTACATAATCCTGTCTATTGTGTTTGACTGTTTGTTTACTAAATTAGAATCAGCCCTTCCTTTTGGGAAGAAATGAGGAAGCTTCTGCCCTTTTTTTTCTTTTCCAGTTTCTGCCACATGTAAATTTGTGCATAAATAGAAGTAAACATGTATCTTTTTGGTTATTATGGTTACCTTCAGTTCTGAAAGCCCTTGTCCACTAATTTTCATGATTTTGTTTAACGGTTTAGCCATAGTTGTTGTGGTGTTTTTGCTTTGAATTGATAGAGAATATTGAATTTTGAAATTATTTTTGTGCTGTTTTCTTCAGTTCAGTCTGAGTTGGGTGGGACTAAATTTGGCGCAGGTGACAACAGATCTGCCAAAGTACCAGTCAGGGTTAGCAATATGTATACGTCAGCTACTCATGTTACTCTCTGTCACATAGTGACTGCTGTCCTGCTGAGTTCCAGTTAGAACTCCCAGCAAGTGTGGTATTTAAGCTTATCAAACTTTTAACAGTGCTCGTTATGAAGGTTTGTTATACTGTGTTGTGTAACATAGCTAGATACTGCATCCTACTTGCTTTAGCCACCTGTTATAAGATTCTACTGTGAGCAATTAGCTTAAATTACAAAAGCTTGATGGCTTGTAGTCCACCTTAACTGTAGAAAAAAAAAAGACAAGCTACCGGAGTGTTATGAGAAAAAAAGTAAAAAAACGGCAAAATGGCTGCGCAAGCGACCAAAGAAACCATTTAAGGTGGAACGGGGAAATTTGAACAAGAAACGAAGAAAGAAAATATAATACATAATTGCCCCCCCCCTTCTTTGAAAGCATATGATGCCCTAAATGTAACTAAAGCCCAGCAGTGAGGTTGCTGAACTTTACCTTCCTCTGCTATCACTGCATACTGCCATTGTCGCCTACAGAGCAGCGCTGGCAGCCTGTTAATGAAGTACTGTTCTTTTTTATTTGAGGGTTGTCCCATTTTGTAGGGGAAGATTTCAATCACTACCCCTTGTAACTGTTCCAAGGGGCAAGATGACACTCAAACTATGGGTAGGGGTCAAAATAAGAAATGCAGTTGGACCCAAGGCTCACAGTGTTTCCCCACAATTGTACTCTACAGGCATGGCAGCGAAAAAGTACACAAGAAATTTTGACCATGTCCTCAAACATGACCGTGCTGATTTATAATGAGAGCTTGTAATAGTTGTCTATAGATTCTGGTATAACATTAGTGCTGCTAAGTGTTTGAATATCGTACACAATGTGTTTGTCACAAGAGTAAAGCTTGAGTTCTCGAATATTAACTGCAAAATGTGATTAGTTCTGTAAAATGACCATTAGACAGCTTGTTCTCTGTTTTACACTTTTTACTCATTGTTGAGAGATTGACCGAGAAGAGCATGAAAGTCTGAACCACTAAGATTGCCATTGCTGCTCACCGCTTGCACTGGCGCTTGGTTGTTTACATTGTCTGGAAGATGCTGCTGTCAATCATTTTGCTTTCTGAGATGTCCACACGGTGCTGAGCAGGCAGCTGCTACGATTTTTGGAACATTTATCTGCTTTAAATTGTATTGATTTGTATATATTTCTTGAATATAATATTGGTAAACGCTTATCTTACTGTTAAAACAAAAATGTAAGCGTTAGAAACCATATTATATGTTAGTGCTTTATAGATGTGCGGTATCCACTAATTTAGCATACTGCGAATTATATATTAAACATGCGCGGTAATGTTATTGTAGGCATTTTGAAATAGCATCACTGCAATTTAGTCAAAAAAGCTGCCGTTTCACCTAAATTTTTTTTGAGATGCAGATGAGCTCTGCTTTCACAAGCTCTGTCGCAACAGCCTCAGCACAGCAGAAGCAGGGCTAGTCTGATGTCTGGTACAATCTTTATCTGTGTAGATAGAGCCGTTTAGTTGTGAACCTATTGTGGCTTAAAAAAAGCATTTAAGGGAGAATCACATATTTCAGCAGTTAGCATTTTCATTGGGGTTGTTCCTTGATATACAGATGCAGCTAATAAAGTAAAGGTTTCCACGTTAAGCACTATTATAGAATGTCTGGTACAGCGTGTTCATGATGAGGTCTCTGTGCTCTCAAGTCTGAACTGCAAATAGTTCTATTTGATGATTCACTGTGGGCAAAATTATGTAGACTTTATTTAAACATATTTGAAAGATAAAGTTTAAATAAGTGTAAATATAGGTATTGTGATTGTGTAAATGTGTATGTATATGTGAGTATATGTACACACACACCTGTATACTGGCACTTGTCTAGTGCTTCTGAAAGCTTATTTGTAGCTTGCAGTGCATCATGCAAACTAGGGGTGGGAATCTCTAGGCACCTCACGATTCGATTACGATTCAGAGGGCTGCGATGCGATTATAAAACGATTATTGATGCATCTTGATGCATCTTTTTTCTTTCTGTACAAAATTTTTTCATCACTGTTTGAGGACTTGGAACTTGTTTTCCAAGTATTTGTAATGATTTACAATGATTTTACTTCCAATATATTTTATTACTAAAACAAACGGAAGTGATGTGGCAAGTGAACTGGAAGACTCATTCACTGCTCTTGTTTGGAGCGCATGAGACGCAGGCTGCCACTCATCTGTGATAATGTGCAGTTACGGTGAAATAAGATCCTGTGGCAGTGGATGTCCACGCAGCAGATTACAGCTAACCTACCCGTTTTCTTCAGTGATTTCATTACTTTGGTTCTGGTCTCGTTGTAGAGAGTGGGGTGGGGGGGTCGCTGTGTCAGTAAAATATCTTCGAGATGGGACGCTATATCTCGGTATAGCACGAAAGCCCTGGTTCTCAAAGACTGAGTACAGATGCAAATCTTGGCCAATAAAAGTTGCGACAGAGTTTGTAGTTCGCTTCGTCCTTTCCGAGTTGGGTGGAAATTTTGACATTGCTTGTTCGATGGTCCTCTGGTTGGCAGCAACTACGGGCGGAAAATGGATGGAAACGTAACATGGTTTCCCCCTCAACTTCATAGTAGCCAAAGTGCTTCCATACGCTAGCTCAGGGGTCGGCAACCTGCGGCTCTTTTACTCCACATCAGAATTAGATTTCTAGGTAAAAAAAAATAAATAAATAATCCTAATTTGTAAAATCAAGCCCTGCTGATCGTTCAACACAGTTTTAACAACAAATGATCTTAAATGCTGGAATTAATGTAGCCTATAACTGCTAGTTCACCAAGCTAGTAGCTAACGACAAGGCAAAGAGAAAGATTTAAGACGAACGTCGATAATTTAGAGACGAATAGACTTGTTTGCATTTATAATCACTCCAGATGGTTTTCTGATACGTTTAATCTGCAACGAGAAACTGTCAAACACTTTAAAAAAAAAATGTGAAACTGAAGTCAGTTTCTCGTTCTCCAGCTTCTTGTTTGAATTTTCCCGTTCCACCTTAAATGGTGCAGCCATTGCATTCTGGTGCCTCAGGCACCATTTAAGGTGGAACAGGAAAATTCAAACAAAAAGCTGGAGAATGAGAAACTGACTTCAGCCTTGTAAAAAGTAGAGCATTGAGAGACATTTTACAAGAAACTGTTCTACTTTTGTGGAAAAGTTTCCTGCTGGTGATGCAAGAAAAGCAGCTACAGTGGAGCTAAAGCTTAAAGCAGAGCAGAGTAAGTCTGCGTTTTTTTTTGCATTGTATTTTTGGCATACACTAGGACATCACGTACTGAAACACATGTACAGCCAAGACAGTAAAATGCACTCAAAATGTTCTGGCTCCCAAAGTGGTTTGATTTTTTTGTTGAAAAGACAAAATGACTCTTATTAACATTTGGGTTGTGACCCCTGCACTAGCTTTTAATGTGGTATGCCGCCACAGATTGTCCGGACGCTGCACTTCCGCACTTTGCAAAGTTCCGCCTTTTGCGTTCCGTCAACATAACATTATCAATTAAAATTTAGAAAATAGGTTTTTGACTTTTGTGAATCGATTCAGAATCGTCCACGTCCGTATTGCGATGCATCCAAGAATCAACCCCCACCCCTAATGCAAACCAAAAAATATTTAGCAGCTTAATGTGGTCTGTGCACCTGTCTGTTTACTCATTATGTTGCTTCATGCCAAGTTCCTGTGTTTCTTTTTTCCAGTTTGATTTCAGTTTTATTTTCTTCCCTATAATTTTTTTTTTTCTTATTTGTAATTGCTGTGACCTTGTGCGACCTGCTTATGGAAAAAGGCTTTTGTAACTAGTGTCATGGATATGATTATGAATGGCTTCATTAGTTGATTGATTCTGTGTGTGTGTGTGTGTGTGTGTGTGTGTGTGTGTGTCTGTGTCTGTGTCTGTGTGTCTGTCTCTGTCTTCACAGTGCTCCATCGAGTGGTTTCACTTTGCCTGTGTGGGGCTGACCACCAAGCCCAGGGGAAAATGGTGAGTGGTCATGTGATCTGTGTCCTTGAAACTTAGTAGGTCACTTGAAACCTTTTGAAGGAAAGCTTCAAACTGAAAAGAAGTGCAGAGATTAGACTGTCATAATTACATGATTATACTTGATTACTCAATTAAAAAAAACTTGATTAACCATGTCTTCTTTATGACAGGCAGTCACCACTTTCCATGAAAATGCGCTTTCAGTTCTTTTGTTGTTGTTGTTGTTGTTGTTGTTGTTGTTGTTGTTGTTTTATATGCTTTTATGTACATTTTTACGACATATTGTTTTATGTGAGGACTGTCTAGTCTTATCAAAGGGCCAGTGAGGCTGCAGGTTTTTACTCCAGCTAAGCAGATCACCTGAAGAAATGTTTGAAGGCTGATTACTCAAGTGTCTTTTTATGAGCTTTTAATGTGTTGTCATGTAAAAAGCACTGTAAAGGTGTCCTTTTTGTGTTTTCGTCAGTGTTCTCTCATCACAATACCCAGTGTGCATTATGCAAATACATCTTACATCCACAGTGATGTAGAAATCCTGTCTGCCACTGATGTAGAGGCTAAAAATATAGACATATCGTTTCTTAGCAGTAACATTATCTATCTGGCTTACTTCTGCATTAGCCAGCTGGCAGTACAAAAAAAAAAAATCAAACAGCCCACTCTCAAGTATGTATCACAAAGCCCTTTTATTTTTCATAAGGTCTTCCAACTTCAAGACACCAAAACATAAAAAACTAGACAATTTTGCTCTGGAGAGTACTGCAGAACTGCTGTAGGATGTAACTAAACATTTTTACTGCAGATGTAGCAATAGTTACATTTTTAATTTTGTCACTAGTGCCCCTTTTAAGTCTTTAATGGCTCCTTAGTTAGTCTTTTTCTTGTATTTTGGAATCTACATAAAGGTTATTCATGGTATGTGATTGTTAAGTCTAGTTTTTTCATGTTTTGGCCTTTCTTAAAAATCTCAGATTATTTTAGAAATTAATAGAGTAATCAGAACATTTCTCAATTACTTATATAAATGATAGTGATGGCCTTAATTTAGATGGTTATGCTCTCCTGGTTATATGCCCTGTTTTAACTTCTGTTTCTTTTTGTTGTTGTCCTTTATAGGTACTGCCCAAGATGTTCACAGGAGAGGAAGAAAAAGTGAATGTTCTCAGCAGAACAATAGAAAAGAAAACACGCATACACAGGCAGAGAGGGAGGTAGAGAGAAAAGGATGAGAGGCACAAAGCGTTTGATTTCCTGTACCCCAAACCCTTCGCCCTCTATAGACACTAATATAGATTCGCACTCTGCTTAATCTGGTGCTTGTCCTCCTCTCCTCTATCCTCACTTTCTTCTCTCTGTCTGACAGAAAGAAGGCTTTGATGGATGGATGAAGGAGTTGTTACGACTGTAGCTTAATTTATGGTTTCAGTAATGTTCAGTTACTTTTGTTATTGTGGTTATTTTGCTTTTTTATATATGTATATGATTTTGATGGTTGTCGTGTTGTTTGGTTGCCTTTTTTTATATGTATTATCATGTACAGATACATGAACTCAGCAGTAGATAAATCAGGGAGCACACTCAGTCCTTAAGCATGGACATCCACTAACGGTTCTTAGTTACTGTTCTTTTCCAAACCTAATTTTTAGTCAAACACTGGCACATAGTGCCCTCATAAGAAGTTAGTTCTCAGAGATATTTCCAACTAAAACATTCTCAGTTCACTTCTGGCACTACTTTCATCATGTTTTCATGGTTTATGTACAGTTGACTAATCCATGCTCTGCCCAAAAGTGCGTCCTTTCATACCAGGTGTTGCAAGGTTGGACAAGCTTTACTGAATGCTGTGCAACTGAGCAGAACTGTGTTGTTGTAGCTAATCGGAACTAGGCTGGTTGGAAACAACGACAGCAAATTTGTCCTAGGCTATAGATTTTTCTCGACAGTGACCCGTTCACATCTGGTCATTTTATGCAACAATACAGTTTCAGCCACATGCATTTACACTAAGCAGTCAAATTTATCTTGTTATTCAGATTGAAATCTCATTGCTGCATAGTGTGTGATCAGCTCATACAACAACCAATCGCCTGTCTTGTTCCCTGTTTTTCATGTTCTGCTCAAAAGGTGGTTGCCGCCTCCAAAATCACAGTTTTGCAGGGTATTGCTTTTTTTAGACTCCTTTTACACCTGGCTGTTTCATCTGAAATATATCTAGATTGTAACCTGGCATAATTTTACCCACATGCATTTTTATTTGGTAACCATATGCAACTTTGGCTAGTCACATTGAAACCAGGTTGCTGTGTGCCGCATAATATGCAAATAAGCTTGTATACAATAACTGATTGCCTGTGTTGCTCCTCGTTTCTGTTCTGTTACAAAGAAAATCTGAATTTTGCGCTGCACTGTTCATTTTCTTACACCGCCAATTCAGTGTTTACATGAGGATGGCTGTTTAGAATAATTAGCCTCCAGTAGTACTTATCGCACTAATGAACAGCGAACCATGAAAAACAAAAAGTTTAACCAGACTGGTGCTTTGCGGGGGTCAGGGATTGCGTCTCGTATTACCTCCTGAACTACCAAATTTAAATCTGTTTTAAATGATTTTCTTTACGTTTGCATTTTTATGTGGGTAATCTCAATCTGGATATAATCCTGATACTCAAGACACATGAAATGACCAGGTGTAAATGGTCAGTGTGATCTTTCGCATGTGTACAAAATGAGTATAATTGGAAATCAATAATCCACTTTAAAACTCTGCTTACACCCGGCCATTTCATGTGATTTGTATCTGGATTGTAAACTCGTAAGATTTGAACCATATGCATCTACACTTGGTAGTCAAATGCATCTTTGGGGGTAGTCAGATTGAAATTGCTTTGCTGTATGGAGCATAATATGCAAATCATCTCATACACAAGAACCAAGCACCTGTGATATTCCTCTTTTTTTTTTCCTGTTCTATTTAGAAGATGGTTACTGCCACCAACATTCACACTTCCAGTAGTAGTCATCACAGTTGTGTACTACATGCATTAAAACGTAATTTATTTAGGTGAGACAATGAATAACAGTGAGTCGAAGTGAACATTAAACAAACTGCTGCTTTATTTTAACTAGGTGCTAAATTAAACTCAAAGAAGAAACTCCTATAAAGAGCTGAACTGAAGGAGCTGCAGTACCTCTGGTTAATGGTGGCGGTCCAGTGGGTGGTCTCTTCCCTATAGGCGGAACAGCAGAGGGAGGTGCCATATTGGGAGGGGGTCTGGTTGTTGAATGCACTTTTCCAGCATAAAAATGCATCAACGCATACGTTCCTTTTTTTTATTTTACTTAAGATTACTTTCCCCACTGTTACGATACAAGTCGGCAAGCTTGGCTCGGATACTTTCATCAGCCCAGAGGTGCTTGGTTTAGGGAGCTCTAGCCTTGCATAGCCTCCATCTTTTGTTCTCATTGTTTACTCACCTAATTCCGGCTCACGTAATTGTATACGAATGATGAAAGCGCGCTCTGTTTACGCTTGTGTTAAATGCGGTCAAGATCCGCGTCTAACCTCCTTCGAATGTTGTTTGAGTGATGCGATCAGAATCTGCTCACAGTGCATTCTGGGGGTGTTTACACCTGGCTTTTCATAGAGAAATCTGAAAATGATCCCATCACGGAAAAATGCTTATTAATGCAAGGTGTAAACAGGCTCTAAATGTGTAGGTTGCTTGTTGAATGAAGCTTTTCCAACCTTGCACCATTTGTTATGAAGAGCTCACTTCGTGATCAAAGCATGGGTCAGTTTTACCAAAAAAAGTTAATGTCCCATCTAGTTTAGCTAGGATTTCCCCCACCAGGTACCTTGGACAATGCATTTGGGGAATTACTTCACATTACAAGTTCCAGGAAAAGGGGCTCCTTCGTCATTGTGCTCTTACACACAAACTCTTACTGCACACAAGTCAGTGACTCACTTAGGTTTCTAAGACTACATTTCAGGTTCATTCCACAACTGGCTGCTGTGATATAAACTTTCTCTGGTGCTCATAACGGTTCACTACTCTATGAACTGAATCAGTCAAACAACTTTTCCGCTGGACTCTTTTAATGAATAGCATTAACGCAAGCGGTACTGGATGAAAGTGCTGCCTCCTTTGTGTATTCATCCCGCTATATTGTAAGCTATGAACAAAAAAAAAAATGGTGAATATTGCTGTGATTGGCCTGCAATATGGGTTTATTTGTATTCAGTTTGACTGGATTTTTGGTGCTCTTGAAGACATTAGTGATAATGTTTGATTTGGTTAACAGGTATGAAATTGATGGTTACTCATGCTGGTTCCTCCATCATACGGCTGGTGTTGGTGTCAAAGATTGCATAGCAGGTTTTGTCAGCAGTTTTGGTGCCGAAGTCCACAGATAACAACCCCTGTGTAAAACTTGGCTTCAAAATTTTCAAATTTATGTCCATGCACAATTTCTTGTATGCCTAAAGCAAGTATTCTTTTGGGCTGCTTTACTATCGTCAAGCATTATGCGTTATCACAGCATTATGACTGATAACGGCCTTGTGATGGAGTTCTCATGAAGCCTTAGTAATGTTACTTTGTGATTCTGATTGTTACAGATGTTCTAGCAAGTACTTTATTGTACTAATGTCAGATACTGGGTTTTGTCTTCCATGTTCATTGAACAATGCCTGATGTCTGAATCCAGAGTTTTGTGTGCAGTCTTCTGTCTTGTCCAGTCTTTTCGAAGTTCAGCTTGAGCACATTGTCGGTGTCTTGTTTGGCTCACTTGATAGTGTCCGTTCTGTAGGCTATTTTTTTATGTATTTATTTTTTTGATTAGTCACAAATTTGAGCTACACAAATGCAATCTCCATTTTGGCATTTAACATATTGTTAATTAGCTCAAAAAGAATGCATGATTTTTGTGAAAACAAAATAACATCATAAAACATGGCATGCTTTTGCCATGTTTTTATCTGAATACTAAGACAGCGATTTATAGCGTAAAGGCCACTGCTTACTCAACATGCTGCATAGCATTGTGTAGCGTTACTTAGCAGATAAAATACAAAGTGCTACTATACTACGTACATCACAGTGAGAGTGCCAATATCAACACTGCTACACTATGTAGAATGCATCACAGCATAAGTGCCAATATGAACGTTGGTATACTACATATAATGCAACGCAGCAAGAGTGCAGATGTGAATACTGCTGTACTGCGTAGAATGCGTCGCAGCGGGAGAGATGATTAGAACACTGCTGTATTGTGTCATGGTGGTGGTGTTACAGACAAGATCTAGTCCACTTTTTGGGGTCTCAAAATGGCTTTAACTTAGAGCAGTAGTGGCGAAATACTGAGAATTGAACAGTGTTCAGAGTCGCTGAGTCGAGGATGCATCTACGCCACATTTTGATGCCGGTATACATATCTTCATTAAAAACAATGGTTTGGAAATTTTTTACACTGTTCAACTATGCATGTCCGGTGGCGGTTATGCTGCATCCAAAATCACATACTACCATAAATGTATCAAAAATAGGACACCACCATTAGGAGCACATTCATTAGAGTAGTATGTATAGTATAGTATAGTAGTATGTGGTTTTGGATTTACTCATCTCATGAGCCGGTGGCTAAGAGCTGCCAACTTTGATAGGGAGGGGCGTGTATGAATGACATGAAAAATAACCAACCAGGGACAATTGTTTGTGGTGTGTAGGGGTAGTTGACTTTTAAAACAGGCTTACAAATAAAACCATCTGTAATAATATGGTATACATCAAAAACACGAGGATACATAATTTACTAGCTATTCGGTTCTTCAAAGGCAGCTCTTGAATGACTTTTGATCCTGTGATTACTTTCTTTAATCCAGCAATTATATCTACATTCACATGAGCCATTACAAGATTCATTGCTCAAGTGCGACTTTTTGCTTAAATCTGAACTTTCTAACCCGATGGTTCTCATTTGTGTAGGTCAGTGACTCAAATCTATCATTAATGTGAATAAAATGAATTGACCTGAATGTGCACATGTTAATCGATAACATCACATGAATAGACAAGATGCATCCTGAGCAACAAACTAACTATCCAGCAGAACAAGTTTTCATTGCAAAGATAATTTACTCTGAGCAGCTCTCAGCTCTTCATTATTATGGCAAGATGAGGTGAAAGGATCAGTAGCTTTTGCACGGTTTACTGGCGCTCGCTTCATGTTAGACGCTGCTGCCATGTTAATGCTGAATAACGGTGCATGTGCAGTGAACACGAATTCAGTTCATGAGCATGATCATTAAGGCTCCACGGCTACCAATCTGATATGCATCTGATCTAGCTACATTCACATTACCAGGTTGAAGTGGCACAAATCTGATTTTTTTGTCCTAATGTGATTCAGTTCTGATGTTTTCAGAGCTGTGTGGACACACAAGTCTGATCTGTTGAAATCAGTTCTGAGCCACTTCCTTATATGATCGGATTCAGATCATGTTCATGTCCGTTTCGTGGCCATGCAACCTTAATGAGACATGCACCGTCCAGTGCCAGGAAACCGTGCAAAAGCATCTGAACCTTTCACCTTCGTGCTCAGAGCTGCTCAGAGTAAACTATCTGTGCAACAGTCTTGTTCTGCAGGTTGGTTTGTTGTTCATGACGTATGTGGTTTATGACGTTATTAATGGCAGGTTTGGGCCACTTGCTTACACGAATGTGAACCATCAAGTTAGCAAGATCGGATGTGAACAAAAAATCGGAATGAGGCTTATAATATGAACATGGCCAGATTGGCTCATATGTGATTTGAAAAGATTAGAATTGTGTATCCATGCAGCTCTGAAAACATCAGATCTGTGTTGCGTTAGGGCACAAAATTCAGATTTGTGCTGCATAATGTGAATGTAGCTTATATCTTGCTACAAAATACTTGTGACGGCATACAGAGTGGGCAGCTGCTTGCAAAGATTTGTTTGCCATTAGACAGATTAAAACTAGTGCACAGAAGTGCATTCACATGGACGTGCAGATAGCCAATCAGAACGCAAGCGACAAAATCCCAATAGTTGTGGTCAACTTGTAAAAGATAATAGACGCTCTGCCCGAGACGTACATTTGTAAAGAGAAATCTCTGTTAAAACATTGCAGTTCAAAGTGAAGAACGCTGATGTTTAAATGCTTTGAAATGTTTTCTGTCTCTTTAGGCCTTTTCTTCCTGCTTATTCCGGTTAAACCCTGAGTTGCCAGTTTTAGGTGCACGTCCTTGTACCAACACTCATTGGCGCACTTTGTAGGTTTGTGGTTTCTGACTGTAGCCAATCTGTTTGCTGCACCGTGTATCAGCCCCTTATTCTGTTGCAGCTAAACATATAAAGGAGTAGCGTTTGAAATCACTGAATCAATAACAGAGTGATGGAATAAAAATAAGTTTTCTGCTTTTATTTTGTTTAGTCAGAAGTTACCTGTTTTATTTAATCATTTCTTTACAGAGCCTGTGTGCTGCGTCCTATCCAGTAACAGGATGTCTGAGCTGATGTCAGTCTCAGAACATCATCTTGTATTGCAAATGTTCTTTCTGCATTGCACTTCTCAACTTCGCCACAAGGTGTCTCTTTTTTCTGGATTTCAAACTGTTTGGAATACCCTGGACAGTGTGAGCATCTTTGCTGAGCATTAAAGAATTCAAAAAATGTGGTAGGTTGTTCTACCAAAATATGTAAAATTTTTTCATGACCTAAATTGGCCATTGTTTATTCAAAATATGCCAAAACTGCAACAGCAAAATAGGCATTGAATACTTAAATTCAAAATAATTCTAACTAAAGATAAATTGTTTTATGTAGTTTTTTAAAACTGCCTGTTTTCTCGAACTAGACATCAGGCATCTTTTCTTTTTGTGTAACCACTGGCCCACAGATTTTTGTTGGGGCAAGGGGGTCAGAATGCACACTATGTTGCAGTGCATGCTGGGGACTGTAGTGCAGCTCAGAGTGAAACAGGCTAATAAGAATAGAAAAGTAAAATAATTTTGCGGGCCGAATGGGACTGTGTCACGGGCCTGACTTCTGTTTGACACATGGGCTTTAGGGACTATGGTGGCACTGTTCCAGGAGGTGAGTAGGCATGTTTACAATAAATGTAATGATGGTTACATTTTTCATTTTGGCCAAAATGTGCCTTTAAGTTGCAAGCCTAAACTCTGTTACCGTCAGGCCTGTTAAGAATGCACGTTGCCCACTTTTCATAGAATGACAGCACTGATTAACAGAGACTTTCAACCTTCTGACGTTCAACCTCCTCAAGCCTTTGAAGACCAATGCCAGCTCATATTTTGTGCCCAATGCTAAAGTGCAAAACCAAACAATGACTTCAGACACCAAGCATGTTTTGGCTAATCAAATGTATTTGGATAAGATTTAAAAGATTGTATAAATTAGACTTTTGGTCAAATCATTGCTCGAATGTATTACTGTACTAGTTACTATAATAATACTATGTAATACTATAATACTACTAATTATAGTATGTGTTTTTGGACATACAGAACATTTAAAATGATTGGTGGCTGTGCAAGTGCTTGTGAACCTGTGAAGTTCAAATTCCAAACTAGTGTCTAGGAGCAGTGTTTGACACTTCTGATGCGCATGGACATTCTACTCCTCTGCTGGTACATTCTGAACACGAATGCTGACAGATACATAGGCATGGTAGCCAAGAGTGACTGTACCTTACTGAGTCTGTACTGCAAGGTAGTCATGGGGTCAAAGGTCATGGTCAAGCCTGTAAATGTCACTCTAATATAAATAGGTGCTGCAAGCACTGCCTATATAACAAATAGCTCAGTATGGGAAGTTTAAACATTTACCAAGTCCTGATATATGGAGTTTTCTCAGTGTTTCATCTATATACATTTCTTTATGTACAACTCTTTATACTGTGGACATATATTGTGTATCTAGGTATAAATCGTTTTATGTGCACCCCTCTCCAAAACAGCATATTCTCTATCTTGTGTGACATCAATATGTTTTGGGTTGATATATTGTCTATACCAGTATAATGATATTGGTGTCACACAAAATATTGATTTTTAATTTTAGCATTTTAACTGTATTGCTGTGTACTATGTAGCGATACAGCTGGAACTTCTAAAAAATTAAGGGCTTAAGGATGCGCAATGATATTGGAATCATATCATATACATCATATGATGTATTTATTGTGCCCCAGAAGAGCAGAATGTTTAGTCGATGCATGGCTACTCTGCTGAAATATCTGCATTTTATCAATTTCCCTGTTTTCAATATATATAAATAAATGTCACATTGCCCTGTAATGTTAATCTGGGTAGACATTTCATAAATGTTTATGTATCATCATCGGCAGATATATACATGAAAAATATTGGATACTGGCCTATAATTCCCATATCATCACATCCCTAGGAGAGTTGGATATCAATGCTTTTGATACTGAAACCTGAACGATATTCTTTTTCTCCATATTTCAAAAAATATGCAGTTAAAAGTCACACAATGTTATGGTTTGCAGAGTAATCAAAGGAGTTCTGCTTAGAATATAAGATGTGCATTTGATATGTAATTTAGCAGTGATGAGTACCTACAGATGGTGGTCTGAGGACTAGCAGCAGGGGGTTGGGAGCCCAAGGCTCCTCAGTGCGTAAGGGATGCAACGAAGACTATCCTGTCTGTTT